TATGGGCTTTCAAACACGAGTTTCCAAGGAAACCTGCAATGAAACGCTTAGTTTTTAAAATTAAATTTATATTAAAATGATATAGCATGTTTTAAAATGCAAAATGACTCTAGCAAGCATGAAACAGACGTTAAAACAGAGAAGCAGCAAGTATGATATTAATGAGATATTGTAAATTCTGAAAAAAATAAAATGAAATCATTTTTGCTTGGAGCCAGAAAGAAAATCAAATTCATATTTCTAATTGGCTTTGTCTCTGAAGATAACAGAATTCAGAACAGTCTTCGTGTGAACCACAAATGTAAAACCTGTAGCCTCCAGATGTTGTGGAATTGCAATTCTGAGCACCCGGAAATTTTGTCTGTGGACCATGGGTGAAATGCTCCCGGTTCGGACCAGATCGCCCGATCCAGTAGCGATGGCGGCAGGTGGTTCGGAGAAGCGGTAGCAAAAATCCCTGCCCCCGCCCCCATGCCCAGCTGAGCCGCACGATCATCAGAGGCTTTTCTTTTACTTTAAAAACATTTTTTTTTTAAATTTGATTTATATGCCGCCCTTCTCCGGAGACTCAGGGCGGCTTACAATGCGTTAAGCAATAGCCTTCATACTTTTGTATATTTATACAAAGTCAGCTTATTGCCCCCACAAACTGGGTCCTCATTTAACCTACCTTAGAAAGGATGGAAGGCTGAGTCAACCTTGAGCCTGGAAAGATTCGAACCTGCAGAAATTGCAGGCAGCTGTGTTAATAACAGGGTGCATTAAACCACTGTACTACCAAGGCTCCTACAACCTCTTTGGCCGAAGAGGCTTTTTAAAAGCATTTTAAGGTTGATCTTTAAGGTTGTAGAAAAAATGCTTTCAAAAGTTAAAAAAAAAAAAGCCTCTAATGATTGCGCAGCTAGCTGGGATTGTCAGAGCCTTTTAAAAGCATTTTTTCTACAGCCTCTTCAGCCACGCCATGCCCACCCAGTCACATTATTACCCCCCACCAAGCCATGCCCATAGAACCGGTAGTAACAAATTTTATATTTCACCAATGCCGTGGACATATCCAAAGGTGGTAGGCTTAGTGAATCAATTATGAAGGGCAGTGAATTCTCCACTACAGCTACAGAAATCATGTACCTTAGTCCAGGCAGCTTTTTGGTGCCTGAGACCAGTACTCAGTGGTTTTTCAGTGTCCAAAAGTTGCAAATAGCGCAGAACTGCAGTCACAGAAGTGCAGCTGGTATATTGGGAGTTTCATTACTTTTTAACATTAATATGTCTTTTTAACTTTGATATAAAGGTAAAGGTTCTCCTCGCACATATATGATAGTCATTCCCGACTCTAGGGGATCATCTCCGTTTCAAAGCCAAAGAGCCAGCGCTGTCAGAAGACGTATCCGTGGTCATGTGGCCAGCATGACTAAATGCCAAAGGTGCACGGAACGCTGTTACCTTCCCACCAAAGGTGGTCCCTATTTTTCTTCTTGCATTTTTTACGTGCTTTTGAACTGCTAGGTTGGCAGAAGCTGGGATAAGTAATGGGAGCTCACCCCATTTCGTGGCACTAGGGATTCGAACCGCTGAACTGCCGATCTTTCGATCAACAAGCTCAGTGTCTTAGCCACTGAGCCACCGTGTCCCCTTCACTTTGATATGCCTCACCTCAAATAGCTGGGGTTTTACAGCCATCATACCTGGGGGAGGACAAGAGTCATCAAAATGCCTCTGGGGCTATGTGGATAACCAATCACTCCACTTGTCCCAAAGTACATAAGCTGAAAGACTTATCTACTTTTGGATTTCTATTTGAATATGAACATCTCATTTGCCAGTTTCAGTAGTACATTTCATTTTTTTTAGCTTTATCATTTTAAAATCTTTTCAGTAATACTGAATGCCTGATCCCTCTGCTGCAGGGGTGTCGAACTGGATTTCTTCGAGGGCTAGATCAGCATTGTAGTTCTCCTCTGTGGGCCGGCCATTCGGGTGGGGGGATTTGGGATGGACACCTCCTACAGCAAAATGGGGTGCCCCGTTTTGGCCAGTAGGTTGCTGCAGGAGGCCGTCCAGGCCAAAAATGGGGCGCGGGCAGTGGCGAAATCCAAATTTTTTTATTACCGGTTCTGTGTGTGTGGTCTGGCTTGGTGGGTGTAGCAGGGGAAGGATACTGCAAAATTTCCATTCCCACCCCACTCTGGGGCCAGCCAGAGGTGGTATTTGTCAGTTGTCCGAACTACTCGAAATTTCCGTTACAGGTTTTCCAGAACCTGTCAGAACCTGCTGGATTTCAGCCCTGGGCGCAGGGGACTGCGCACGGCCCCTTGGTACCCTGTGTGTGGCCTTCTAGTGCCCAGTTTTGGCTGCCAGAGGAGAAGGGAAAGAATTTGTTTGTGCACAGGTGATCAAAGTGAGTGAAAAGGGTAATTTGATTCTAACTAAGCAGTGGACAGTTATATATCCTCAAAATAAATATACACACAGAGAGAGTGCATACTGTAATTTGTTTCCAAATATGTCTTGGCATTTTTGCTTATTTAAAAATACAACATCTTTGGGAACATGAAAATACAGTCTTATGATAAAAGAAGAGAGGGTGACAGAACATGCCAATTCAAACATGTTTCTGCCTCAAGAAAATAAAATCAAGCAAAGAATAAATCAGAATTCTATATTATTATTTTTTTTAAAAAATTCTCCAAATCTTCCTTGCTATGATACTATTCTGTATTTAGATATACAGGTTTATTCTTGCTTTTTTTTACTTCCTAAATTGGGGTTTTTTTTCCCCCCTGGGGCTTCCTGTTTATATAGCATCTAAATACATCTGGAGTATAACTTGACATTGTGGGGTCTAAAAATACTGCCTAAAACAGCAACTTTGGTAGATCAAAGCATCCCGCTGCTCCTGGGTAGACTAGCAAAAATATCCTGAAGGGTTTATATCACATATCTGAAGTTGCAAGCATGAAGTCAGATTTTCACTGCTAAAGCTGTGCCTTTACTCGTATCATCGTATTACAGGAAAGTCATCTTTATTATTGTAACATTTGCCACATGGAATTTTTTTGTACAGATCATTTGTCTTAACAATGAATTGAATTCCATCATTTTATATGGTGCACTATTTTGAACTTATAAAAGAGTTTTTAAGACAGAAAAACAATTATACTCCTTTGGGTTTTCTTCAGTGGAGCAAATTCACCACATTTAGTCATTCTGGGGTCTCCAAACCCCAGGCTGCAGACATTGTGCCAGTCCATGGACCGTTAGGAACCGGTCCGTGCAAGCAAGCAAAACTTCATCAGTGCATATGTGGATTTAGGTAGAGCATGAAACCGTGACCCCTGGTCTGTGGAAAAATTGTTTTCTACAGAACCGGTCTCTGGTGCTCAAAAGGTTGGGTACCACTGCTCTATCTAATTCACCATTACTCACCTGACATCTTCCAGATCCAACAGGATTACACTTCTAGAATTTCCTTACACCTTTGCCTGACGTTACAATTCTGGAGTATTATCAAGTCTTAGAATCTCTGACAGACTGGGGAAAGTTGTCCTAGTCCATTTTAGATGCGGTAAATAAAAATTATCAGTACACTGATTTTATAACTTATTTCATCAAGCTAGAAATCATAATTTATAAATCACATAGATTGAGCCCATACATTCTCCTAAGCTAAAACTCAGCATGTTTGTTTTGTATATAAGAACATCAGGAAGTTTGAACAAGGGCCTGGAAGATGACATTTTGGATGGCAATCGAGATTTCCAGTGTTGTTTATGAATTAGGCTGGGGTGGCGAGAAAGGAAGGTTTTATATCCACTTGTTTGCAACCATTGGGGTACAGTTTATAGATGAGACAAAAATCTCATAATTAAACCACTTGAACCACTGAGACTACCACAAACCACGTGAGAAATACTTTCACTTGGACCCTAGACAACAAAACCATGAGATAAAAACTGACTTAGATCAGAAATGATGGAAAAAGCAGATCAATGATACTGTTATGATGTTATACATATGGGTGTATATGTGTATATAGATAGTTCTCGACTTACAACCATTCATTTAGCAATTGCTCAAAGTTACAACAGCACTGAAAAAAGTGACTTATAACTTGTCCTCATTCTTACAACCATCTCATACTTATGACCATCTCATACCTTATCCCCACAGTCACGTGCTCAAAATTCAGGTGGCTGGCAATTGTCTTGTATTTACAACGGTTGCAGCATCCCGGTGTCATATGATCACCATTCACAACCTTCCCAGTGAGCTCCCAACATCCTTTAGTCAACGGGGGAAGCAGATTTGTTTAACAAACGTGTGATTTGGTTAACAACTGCAGCAGGGGTGGGTTCTAATTATCTTTACTACCGGTTCGCAACGGGATCGCGCACGTGTGTGAACAAAGCAAGCACACACGCCTTGCTTCTGCGCATGTTCAGATCGCCGATGACAACATCTGGGGTGGTGGGTGGGGCCTCCCGCCAGTTTTATTACCAGTTCTTGCGAACCGGTCTGAACAGGGGGCAACCCACCACTGAACTGCAGTGATTTGCTTAACAACCATGGCAAAAAAAAAGTCATAAAATCAGGTGCGACCTATTTAAAACCCACCTTGCTTAACAATGGAAATTCTGTGTAGGAGATGACCAGGCTGAACCCGAGGGAGGGGTCAAACGCGTCATAAGTCACGAGTGCTCACAAGAGATCTAAGTCCAGCCCACTTTGAATTCCTTTCTATTGTTAACTCCTGCGTATTTCCCTTAACGGTCAATTGGCCAGATTCTTATAGAGAACTTAAGCTTGCAAATCTTTATACTCATTTGAACTGCCCTATATCTCCTGATTTTCCAGTCCCAATTGTGATTGTAAGTCGAGGACTACCTCGGTAAATGGGCATCTACAAACAGATAAATATACAAAACGGGCTTATATGGTGTACCTTTGGAGTAAGAATCCATTAGTGTTCTACAGTTAATGCTCTTCCATTTGTTTTACAGATGACCGAAGGGAGACACTGCCAAGTACAGCTTCTGGATGATAGGAAGCTGGAGCTACTAGTTCAGGTGAGACATTGTAGTTTTATTGTTTCTGTAGCACCGATTTGTCAGTTGATCTGTTCAGCAGGGCGAATGATCATGCTTCAAAAATTATTTGAAAGAAATGTTTTAAACTTTGGGCCAATGTGACACCTCTCTCTGTGATTAATTAAACAGAACAGAAGTTTTTTTAAGGTCAGGCACAAGGTTGGCGACATCATGCAGCAACCTATTTTCAAGCTCATGCAGAAAATGTTTTAATAAATAACAGAAATCTGTTGTGTTCATGCTTGCTTGAAGTTCAAAACACTCAAAAAAAAAAGGTGAACAGGCCTGCTCCCCAGTTCACTCCCCAATATGACAGTAGCTTCAGTAGAAAAAGGGGAGGCATTGTAGCTAGTTCAGAGGATGAGAATAATTTAACAGGACTGACTGTTTCTGGAGTGCTTTGGGTACTATATTTACGAAGAAATCAACAAATTAGTGTACGGTAGTTCTCGACTTACCACCACAATTAAGTCCAGACTTTCTGTTGCTAAACAAGGTGGTTATTAAGTGAGTGCTACCCAATTTTACAGTTGTTTCTGCCATGGTTGTTAAACAAATCATTCCAGTTGTTAAGCGAATCATAGGATCGTTCAGCGAATCCAGCTGCATCATTTATTTTGCTTGTTGGAAGCTGGCTGGCAACATTGTAGATCACAATCACATGACCCTGTAGTGCTGCAACATACCAGTTGCCAAGCACCCAATTTTTGATCATATGACTATGGGGATGCTGCAACCATCATAAGTGTGAGAATCGGTCATGTCATTTTTTTTCCAGTGCCATTGTAACTTCAAATGGTCGCAATACAGGTTGACCATGACCTGTATTTAGAGGAAGGACAATCATGAAGATCAGTAATATAAAAATTTAACCTGCTGAAAACAAGCTGAAAGAGTTAGGCAACATTGTCATCTCTATGGAAGGCAAAATGAAACCTGGCTGATATTTTTGTAATCATCATTAGCAGTAGTTGGAGAAGACTTATTCTCTAGTGTTCTTGAAGAAGGACTATAGCTAGTGGGTTCAAGCAAGTAGATTTCATCTAAACATTTGGAGAGATTTCTGAGAGGAGATTGCTCTTCAGCAATGAATCAGTCAACATTCTGAGGACTTTGGTTGATGATGGACAGCAACATGTCAGAATTATTTCGAAATTCATACTGTGAACTGAGAGTATTAGAGGGTCACCAAGGGCCTCCCTGCCTCTAGAATCTTATACATCGGGGTGAGCAACTGTGGCCACAGTTGCCCACCCCTATTATACATCATACCTCAGCACTCGACTGCTTCAAAACTCATCAAATTCAGTATTCAACATGTTTTGAAGCGAAAATCTTGTCCTGGCACTCATCTTTCTCCCTGTAGTTGACATGCAAGGAAGAATTTGCTGGTGTTGGCTTGCCTCATGACTATTTCTTCCAGCCAAAATATGGGATCATGTGGTAAGTCATGTGGTTTTCTCGGTACCTGTCGGTTTTAATATTCAGCACATCTTCTGGAACAAATTACCAATGAGAATCGAGGTACCATTGTACAGGTGATCAGCATGGTCTACCTTGCGTTGTGTGTCAGTTTTGCTTTGGCTATTACAAGGAGAATTTGGTTTGAATGTTGCCGTGGAGTTTGTTGAAATAATTTTAAATAGATAATTTTAATTACTTGTAAAGACATGTAAACCAGGAAGAGGTGCCTCTTCCAACCCCATTACTGTGAAAATAAAAGTTGCTTTTCAACCCTAAATTAAAACCCTTAAGAGAAATAGCCATATGGGAAAGAAAGAAAACTTTTCCAAAAGTCTTATTAATACAGATGTGGGGGGGGGGAGAGCAGAGGGAGGATAATTTGATATTGTTTTGAACACAGAGATTGCAAGAATAACATACTTTTTTTTTTTTTTTGCCTATAGCCTAAACTTTTGTCACGGGAATTATTGGATTTGGTGGCTTCGCATTTCAACCTCAAAGAAAAGGAATATTTTGGGATAACATTCATAGATGATATGTAAGTACATCATATAGTTATTTTTAAACCACTTGAATAGTCATAATATATACTAGCATTTCCAGATTTATTTTTATATAATAACATAGCCTTCAGTTATTTTCTGAAGTTTTCAAACTATAGAATTTGCCTTCTGTTTGCTTCTTTTATGATTGTAGCAAAAAATATTGCTTTCTGGGTATGCATAGTGTTAACTACTATGCCTTTTATTTTGCTTTATTGTAATATTATCCAGCTCAACTTTTTCCAGGTCAGTCTAGGTCAGTATGGTGCTAACATTATTTATATATTTCAGACACCTACTAAACAGCATTTCTTAGGGATTACATAGCTTTTCCCAGCCTGATATTTGGATTACAACTCTCAGAGCTTAGCCAGCTGGCCCACTGTTAAAAGATTTTTGAGTTGAAGTCTATACATCTGGAGGACATTCAGATTGGGGAAAGCTAAGCTAAACACATTCAAGAATTGGAAGGGAGAAGAGGCTGGTTAGATATTTCTCCTCCAATTATTATTTTTCCACTCCAACTTAATTTCCGTGCTGTTGACACACATGAGATTGCTAGTTGATGTTTCCCTCCTCATATGCAGGGGAAGATTTAGAGCAGGGAAGATGCAGTCACGAAACAATGAAGCACTACAGAACATAGAATCAAAGGGTTAGAAAAGGCCTCAGAAGTCTTCTAGGCAGGAGGATCTTATATCATCCCGGCCAAATGGTTGTCCATTTGACCTGGACGACTCTCACCCTGGTCATCACTTCTTTACCCTCCTACCATTGGGAAGGAGATATAGAAGTATAGCCAGCTGCACAAACAGACTGAAGAACAGTTTTTATCTGTGGGCTGTCAGACTCCTGACATCATAACTATGTAGTATGATGACTGCAGGGCCGGCGCAATGTGTAACATGTTCACACTGGTGCAATAGGACTGGGTGTTTTGTTAATATGATTTATTGGGTTAGGGATTTTCTGTCTTCACTGTGAGTTGTATTGTGTTGGGGCTGGGGGATGCACTGAGGTAGTTCGACCAATCTCATTGTACATATGTTGTGTACTGACTAATAATAATAATAATAATAATAATAATAATAATAATAATAATCAACTCAAGATCTTGTGGGACTTCAGGATTCAGACTGACAGGCACTTGGTCCACAACACACCTGACATAACAATAGTTGAAAAGAAAAAACATGTTCATTGACATTGCAATACCTGATGATGCACGGATTGAAGATAAGCAGCAAGAAAAAATCACAAAGTACCGGGATTTGCAAATTGAAGTTGAGCGACTGTGGAAAAAGAAATTGTGTGTTGTCCCGATTGTAATTGGAGTCCTTGGGGCAATACCCAAAGGGCTACCCCGCTATTTAGAAATTCTAAATTTACCAGACTTGAACATTTTGACTCTACAAAAAACCACTTTACTCGGAACAGCTTACATCCTCCGACGATACCTTAACAGTTCCTAGGTCCTTGGTTAGGACTCGAGCTGCTGAGCTATTAACCAGCCTCAAAGGCTGTGAATCTCACTAAAGATTAACTACTACTAATTATTATTATTATTATTATTATTATTATTATTATTATTATTATTATTATTTGATATCTAGGATGCTGGCAGCAACTGTATCAATCATTAACACCAGTCAATGGTATTTGTGATGCATTTTTGAATGTTCGGTTGACCGAGTTTCATGTTTAATGAATAAAGTTCATCATCATCATCATCATCATCATCATCATCCAGTCAGCTTTTGATAACATCCATTTTACTTGTTATACATACAGCCATGTATACTGTATGTAAGCAAAATAAATTGTATGCCTATTTGCATATACTGTATTTTCTGCTATGTGAATGATTGATTTCTTGTTGCTTGGTGTTCTCAACTTTTCTATAGGTAAATTCTGTCAATAGAGTTTGTAGGTGTTGGTACATTTGCTCCTATTTGAGAAAAAGTTCCTAAAAACATAAGTCTGAACATAAGAGGAAATCTCTCTTCGTCTTAACAACTTTCTAGTTTAATATCTATTGATGTTACATTCCTTTTTGTGTTATTTTGATTATGAACTTGCAACCTCCAGAGGGCAGTCAAACCCTATTTTTAAAAAATTCCCTATTATAGCAGAAAATGCCACTTAAACTTTTTCTATCAGACAAAGTGTGTGACTCAGTGACACAGATATTGTTCAGTCAAAGCACCGATGAGTAATAGCAATACCCTTTAATGGGGAAGGCTTTCTTTCCTTCATGCTTATTTTTCTTCTCAAAAAAAAATCATCTATAAATTCATTGTAGGCCATTGTAAATTGTAGGTGTGAAAAGAACAAATGAAGATTGAATCACCATTACATACCTAGTGATATCCAGATAGATTGGATTCCAACTTTTTTCATACCCAGTTAGTGATAATGAGAATGCCTAATTCTTCTGGTGTATAAAAGGTAAAGATAAAACAGTCCCTGCATATTTTACTCCACTAGTTTTTTTGTTTTGTTTTTTTTATTGAATTTCTATACCGCCCTACTCCCGAAGGACTCAGGGCGGTGCACAGCCATGAAATAAAACACATAGATATACAAAATTTAAAATCGAATAAAATGAATTAAATAAATTTGGTTGAATTAATCCCATAATTTAAAATACCCATATTTTAAAATACAGTAAAAAATTTAAAATTTATACTTAAAAGGGAGAAGATTTAGGCGAGGCCTAAATATAGTTATAAATAAGTCATAAATATAAATATAGTCATCTCTGTTTCAAGGCCATTGAGCCAGTGCTGTCCGAAGAAATTTCCGCAATCCATGCGGCCAGCATAATGTCATGCAGCATTATTACCCTCTGACTGAAGTGGTACCTATTTATCTACTCACTTTTAAACTGTTAGGTTGGCAGGAGCTGGGGTGAGGATGGGTGCTCACCCCATTGCATGGTGCTTGAGTCTCAAAACTGGGCTGCTGGCTTTCCAGCTGACAAGCCCAACATTTTAACCACTGAGACACCGTACTGCCCTCTGGTGTATATGAGGCTGTAAAAAAGGCATAGCTTTTGCCTTTCAGTTTGTTTTGATTTAATAATGTGCTATAATACGACTTTGAAGGCTGGTAATTCCTTTTTGCTCGAGAACTTAAATCAGTGGTGGGTTGCTCCCGGTTCTGTCTGGTTCTATAGAACCGGTAGTAAAACCGGCGGGAGGCCCCACCCACCTGCCACGACGTCATCGTGGGTGATCTGTGCATGCACAAAAGCTTCTGCGCGTGTGCGCTCCCGTTATGAACCCGTAGTAAAGATAAATAGAACCCACCCCTGACTTAAATCCTAATTTCCTTTTTTAGGTAGTACAAACAATTTGGAAACCAGTTTTTAAACATTTGATAAAGTAACCAATAACCAGTTTATTACATCTCGAGTCTCTGATCATATTTTGAACTACTATTTAGAATTGATGCATTTGCATTTGAATGGACAGTCGGCTGCCACTTTAGACTTTCTGAGAAAGCTACACCAATTACATGCATGGCAATTACTAGTCCTGTATATCATTCTGGCCCCTGTTCACAATCTTACAGGTAGTCCTTGATTACAATCATAGTTGGAACCAGATTTTCCATTAGTAAGCAAAGCGGTTATTAATGAATCATGTCTGATTTTATAACCATTTTGCTGTGGTTGTTAAGCGAACCACTACAGTTGTTAAGTGAATCATGCGGTTGTTAAGCAAATTCAGCTTCTCCCATTTGACTTTGCCTATAAGAAGATGGCTGGGAAATTTTTAAAAAAATCATAAATGGCAATCACGTGACCCAGGGATGCTGCAATCGTCATAAATACGTGCCAGTTGCCAAGCATCTGAATTTTGATTGCATGACCATTAGGATACTGTGACGGTCGTAAGTGCGAGGACTGGTCATAAGTCACTTTTTCAATCTGTTGTAACTTCAAATAGTTACTAAACAAATGGCTGTATGTAGAGGTCTAGCTGTATTTCAGCCCATTAATTAAGAGGAAGGATAAGATTGCACTTTATAAATGCTACATTATCTATGCTTGCAATAAAGGTAGGAAATAAATGAGATAAATAAATGAAATAAATGAAATGAGGAAAATAGAAGAGTTAGCCAACTTCATTTCTAGGGAAATAGTCTCAACTGTGTGAATTAAAAGCATTGGTTTCTTATGGTTCCTGTTCTGTTTTGATATTTTTCAGGGGACACAATGTCTGGCTACAGTTAGATCACAGAGTTTTGGATCATGATTTACCTAAGAAACCAGGTCCGGCAACTTTGTTTTTTGCAGTCAGGTAAGTATGGTTAGGCAATACAAAATAAATTTGCACTATGAAATTTCCACTTGTAATCAAAATGTTTTTTTAAAAAAAGAATTAATGGGTTTTTGTTATTAACAATGACAAATAACTAGGACAATTTTTTAAAAAAAGTTAACGGGATGACATTTGCGTGAACATGTGTTTGTCACATTTCCCTATCACTTCCAAACTAGTACTCTATGTCATCCCATGTGGTCATTTTTATATTTAAGCCTTAAGAAGATGACTCAGTATGCTAGCGTTTTTACATTTGACATACAGTTTAAAGAAAACCTTTGAAGGAACTTCCTAGTCTTCCATATGTGTTGTGACTGCATATGTTCAGAGGGTTGGAGGTATTCTAAAATATCTCCCACCAAACTCCATATTTCCAAGGTTCCCGCGCAGAGAATAAAATAATAATACAATAGAAAATGAGCTACTGTCAAATCTTGAGGATATACGCCACCCAAAAAGCAATCAGGGAAGAAAAATTACTTCAGCAAATGCTGGTAAGACACGCTACTACATACAGTATATGCAGGTAGCAAAATACTACACCCACCATCATCCCTGTCCACCGATGATATTACTTAGCCAGGCAAGGAAACATCTGTAGAAAGAGAAGCAAGCTTAGAACACCAGAATTCACATATTGAAATGAAATCAATGTTGATGTGATGTTAATCTCATAGAATCATAAGGCTAGAAGGGACCTTGGAGGTCTTCTAGTCCAAATCCCTGCCCAAGGCAAGGGTCCTTATTCCATCGTGGATAAATGGTTGTCTAATCTTTACTCCAGTAATGGAGCATCCACAACTCTGGAAGGCAAGCTATTCCATTGATTAATCATTCCCCCTGTCAGGAAATTCTTCCTTATTTCCAGCTTGGATCTCCCTCTGACAAGTTTTCCTCCATTGCTTCTTGTCCTGCTCTCAGATGCTTTGGAGAACAAGTCAATCCCCTCTTCCCTGACACAGCCCTTCAAGTGTTGGAAAATGACTATCATGTCATCCCCTAAACCAGGGGTGTCAAACTTGATATCATTGAGGGCTGCATCAGGGTTGTGTTTGACCTCGGGGTGGGCATCCCCAGTTCAATGTCACTCATGGAGACTCTGTTTTTGACTGCGACTGCCTCCTGCAGCCCTCTGTCAGTGAAAAAGGAGCTCAGGGAGGATGCACAGGGCCTTCCTGAGCTCTGTTTTCACTGGCAGAGGCACTGCGGGCCGATCGTTCACTGTTTCCAGGGCAGGCCTTTGGGCCAGTTCTAAGCACCACGTGGGCCAGATTCAGCCTCCAGGCCTTGAGTTTGACACCCTTGCACTAAGCCTTCTCTTTGTTAGGCTAAACAAGTCTAGTTGACCTAGCTGTTCAGTTTAGCCTCCAGACTCCTTATCATCTTTGTTGCTCTTCTCTATACTCTTTTTTAGACATCAGCGTCTTTTTTGTTTTGTGGTGAGCAAAATGACACAGTCTTGCAAATGTGGAATATTTGGGAGTCTTGGAGGAGAATATTTCATAATTGTGATAGCATAATTAGGAAAGCACTTGGTTACATCCATTGGTGGCCTTAGAGTTTTTGTGGCCCTGTACAATTGTGCAACTCTTTTTATAACCTATCAGCACTGTTCCTGGTATATCTGATTTTATTCGAAAAATTCTCAATCTGTGGCATAGCCCTGAAAGAACGGTTATCAAATTTCATAAATGAAAGAAAAGAGCAAAGCAATAAATTACGTTCTTCAGTTTTTATCCTCATGATTAGGACTTCCTTGTATTTTTACATCTTCATCTGCTATCTGAAGAGAATACAAACTGACAATTTAATAACATGGCAATACTTACAGACATGAAACTTTTTTAGATCTTTTAGAGCAGGGATATCAAACTCACGGTGTCCCATTGTTGTCACATGACGTATCACGTGATTTTCCCCCTTCGCTAAAATGGGTGTGGGCGTGACCAGGTTGTGATGCATCCGGCCTGCAGGCCGTGCATTTAATACCCCCGTTTTAGATGAAAACTCTTCCATAAAATCAGTTTCATCCAATGCCTTTCCAATGTTATTTTCAATTGAGATCATTTCTAATCCAGCACCTTCAGCTATGAAAGAGAATGGATAAATATTTATAATTTTCACTTTTGAAAATGACTTCTCAGCAGGTGCAAGTAATAACAGTGCAGTGAATGGGAATTGCTACATACAAATTTGGATATATATTTTGAATGTTATAGCCTAGAGTTCCTTTTTTTGATTTGCAGAATTACCAAAATTGCACTCCCTTTGAGTGCCGTTTTCTGTCCCCAATTTCAAATTAGCTGTCTCCTAAAATCACTGTAGGTCCAGTGGTACAAATCTCCATGTGATTATTGTTTGAAAGTAAAGAGACCAGATAAGCAGATCTAAACTCAACATCTGGGTTTTCAGCTTGATAAGAACAGTGTCTTAAATAAGCTAACTTACTGCTAAATTACCATGGAAAAACACTTGATGTCAGTCTGATATATTGCCAAAATGTTTACAACCAGAACCAAACAGCCTAATAGGTATGGCATCTCTCCAAATGTAGCTTGTCCCTTCTTTCTTCTATTTGTTCTTATCTATTATATCTCAGCTAAACATTTCAAAAATCAGATACTCAACAATATCAGAAAATATGTATTTTATAGACAACTTGATTTCTTTCTCTTTGAAAAAATGTGGCAACATAGATAGATTCTTTCAGCTTGTAACTTTTTATTGCAGTGATATTTTACGGGTTCATTGAAAAAAATACTCTTGGGGAGTGAATTTCTTTGCTGACTCAAACAAGAATCTGATTTTTACAATACACAGGTTTGATAAGCCTTCCCCTTTGTTTTACGTATTGTACAAATGTTTTTGCGTAGTGCTAATTGAACTGATTTGCAGTACAACATTTTTAATCTTTGATATACAACTACACAATTACAAGGCAGTAAAACTATCCCTCTTTCCCTCTCTTTTAGATTTTACATAGAAAGCATTTCGTTTCTGAAGGACAAGACTACAGTCGAACTCTTTTTCCTCAATGCAAAGTCCTCTGTGCAACAGGTAATTTGGCTCAGTTTTCCATACAACTGCAGATTATACTTCAATAGCTGTAAACATACAAGTAGCTGAATTATATGGATGCACTTCTAGATTTAAGTCCCCATCAACCAAAGGAAATGTATTTTTTTTTCTTTCTCTCACACACATGTGTGTGCAAGCACACATCAATTCCCAAATACAAAGAATGAGTAACAGGCTCCAAAATAGAGCAGGTGTCATCCATAATGAAGAAATAGGGTTGAGAAAAAGTTAAGTAAAGGAATATTTGGGGTGGATGTATACATAAAAGAAAACTGTGGAAGATTTGGCTTGTATAATAATTCCCTCATTGGAAAAGAATGTATAAATAAAGCTTTCTTAAGAAACCTTATAAGCATGCACCAAAATCACAACATCTACCACTCTGTTCACCAGCACATCAAGAGAAGTTTTTTTTCCATGTCAAATAAGTGTCTTGACCATTGTGAAGTCATATTTCCAAAAATGGTAGTGCAGAACAGTTTTACCTGAGGCAAATGAATTGTGAACGTATTTTCCTTCATTAGTTGTGGGCATATCCAGAACAAGTACAAATGACTTGTGAAAACCAGTGTATTTATTTGTGAGGGTAGGCAAAGAATATTTACATCTTTATGCAAGAAGTCCTTGACTTATGACCTCTTGTTTAGTGCCTCTCCCCTCCCCAGAAGGCATTTCTGTTCTGATTCTGAAGTTCTGAAGGCCGCTCCCCTGGCTGCCACCTGACCGCTTTTCAGGAGCTCAAAAATCGGCCTGCATTTATTGCCATTTACCAATAGCAATAGCACTTAGACTTATATACCGCTTCACAGTGCTTTACAGCCCTCTCTAAGTGGTTCACAGAGTCAGTACATTGCCCCCAACAATCTGGGTCCTCATTTTACCCACCTCGGAAGGATGGAAGGCTGAGTCAACCTTGAACCGATGATACTCGAACGGACTGCCGAACTGTTGGCAGTCGGGAGTCAGCACAATTAGCCTACAAAACTGCATTCTAACCAGTGGTGGTATTCAGCCGGTTCTATGTTGTTCAGGTGAACCGGTAGCGGCGGCTGCGGGAGGCTCCGCCCACCCACCCGGACGTCATCACATCCTGTTTTTGATTCTATGCCCATGTGGCATGCGTGGAAGGCTCTGTGCATGTGCGGAGTGCACACACGCTCACATTTGCGAACCGGTAGCAAAGTTAAGTGAATACCATCCCTGATTTTAACCACTGCGCCACCACAGCTCTTAACTGCACTACCATGTCTCATTTCAGCATCCTGGGCCATATGACTGTGGTTTATGATTCTTTGCCACAAACAGGCATTTGCTTCTGGTTTTCAGTTAATACACTTCAGAGGGTTCCCTTAACAATTGTAGCGTTGGCTTAATGACAGTGGTGTTCACCTTACAACTACTGCATGTTACAGATGAAAATACCTAACCTGATATCTGTAAATATGTGTGCTTGTTTATATGTCATTGTGTGATGTCATTGTGTCACTTACCATTGGTTAGTACTTACCATTAGCCCCGCCTTCTCTGTATATAAGTTCTTGCTCCTCCCAGATTAGTGCCTGTCTAATTGTGTTCCTGAGGAAGAAAAGAAATAAATATTACTATTACAAGAAAGCCTACAGTCTCTTATATATGGGCCTAACCAGGATAACCAAACTAGCAACAAATTGGTAGCAAGAGGATGGTTTGGTAGGCCCAACCGAACATAAAGATGCAAGACTCACATAACGACAAAAGAAGACCTGCCACCAGATACATAACGAAAAGAATGGCAGCTCAACTAACTCCTGACAAATATACACCACTTGAAAATATTAAGAAACAAACGCAATTACAAGAAAATGAACTGCTAACACCAAACAAAGAAGATGAGGTAAAAAGAAAAATACTAGAATTAATAGAAACAACTACAGCTGAATCAAATCTGCTTGTGAAAATCCGCAGCATAATAAACGACCACGGAACAGCAGCAGATAACGAAAATAACAAACAAGAAAACTGCAAGGTAAGAAATTCAACCCCTGACTTCAAAAATGACACCAAAGATGGCGACAGCTTCCCGCCTTTTTCATGGCAGCCATCTTACCCACCTAATACCTCTAAAATGCCTGACCAATTACTAAAAGAATTCCAAACCTCAAACTACGAAATAAAAAACAAAACCTACCAAGAAGATGATTACCCGAGTCCAAAAACAAATAAAAAACAATTATTTAAACAAAACAAAGCTCAACCTACTGAAGTAGAAATAGACAATGCTATACAGGTGCTAACTGCAGCACTCGGGACTAAACTAACAATACCAAACAAACAACCAGAAAATGAAATAGAAAATTCTAAACTACCATCTACCAAAGGCCAAAAAGAAATAGACTGTCTAAAGAAAGGCCTAGCCACCCGAAGAAAGACAAGCTGGCAATCATACTTACCTACTGAAGAGCAGCTCCCTGAACAACCCGGCTCCATTGGCAATGGCGGCCCGCCTCAAGCTCCACTTACTGACGACCTCAGAGAAGACTCCCCGATGAGCAGAGCAGCACCCCAGGCATTTTTCAGTCACCAGAGGCCCTCCGGAAACAAAGCAGAGCAACAGAAGGCCGTCTGGGACTTCACCCCAGGAGCTGCAGACACAGGAACCTCCCTCATCGACTGCTGGAGAAAAATGAGGACTGAGCATGCCCAGAACGAGCCTGCAAAGAAAGAAGAAGGAAACATAAATACAAGTCAGCGCAACATAGAGATAAGTAAATACAGACATACATCTACCATACCCAGGCCTTATTGTGAGTATGCTAAGGTCTTAAATCATGGACAGCTACTAAACATGAATAACACCTCACTACACTCAGGGACAATACCTCCAGACTTTATAAAATTGAAATTAGATGGAAGCAACTTAATGGAATGGGATCAGTGTTTACAGATTGTATATATGAAAGAAAATGTTTTATTTTTTATTGATAACCCACCAAATAAGCCTTGGACCTATGAAATAGACTGCCTCCACCACAAAGCATACTATATGTTAATTGTTTCTATTTCCCCAAGTATACTCCCCAGTATAGAGCATAATTTAACTGTATTTGAAGTATATCAAAAATTATTCAGACTGTTCTATAGCAAAAATGTAGCCACTACCACAAAAATCTCTAGGGAATTCTATTCTGCCAAACTAAAACATGATACATCCATGAGTGAGCATATCTTGAATTTAAACGCTGTAAGAGCAGACCTTATTCAAAGGGGAGAAACCATTTCTGACAACACCATGAAAAGCATTATAATTAACTCACTAGATCACAGCTGGGATAACTACATTACACTAATAGATAACCTAAGTATAGAGCAAATTACTTTAGAAAACCTTACCAATAAGCTTATTACTGAAGATAGACTTAGAAGAGAGCGATATACACAACAAAGAGAAGGTAGAAATCAAAGAAGGACTGATTTCAGGGCCAGAGACAGATACCCACATGAATGTCTCACATGTGGATCTGAAAGACATCAGAGTAGAGACTGTCCCAAGAATATAGGATACAGTGACTCATATAAACACAAGGATAGAAGAATACACTTTTTAGACAGAACCTCCCCAGATTACAGGTATAAGAGAAGAGAATCACCACACTCTAGAGAAAGACAAACATACAGAAATAACCCTAGAGAAAATAAGAAAGGATCACTATATGGAATAAGAAATAATAACACTTTGATATCTGATTCACTCAACACCTGGCTCATAGATTCAGGAGCCACATGCCATACAACTCATAATAGAGAAATATTAAGTAACTTCACTGAAAAGAAATATTATATTAAAGTAGCAAACCAAAATAGAGTCCTAGTGAGAGGAATAGGAGACACGCATATAAAAGGTATAGGAAAAATAGAGGGGGTACTATTTGTGCCCGAAATTCCAAATAACATATTGGCAACCCTAAAGTTAAGCTTAGACAATGCAATAGAAACCACTTTCAGAGGTGGAAAGGTATTCATGACTAAGAACAACAGAAACATAGGTAAACTATTTACAAATGATGGACTAACATACCTACTGCCACAAGATAACGAACTAGTCTATGCAAACTATCAATTAAGAAACAAAAAACCAAATTCAGATAGCCATGATGAAAATAATGATAAGAATGCATCAAACACTGATACTAATATGTCTGAAAATTTAAACAATGGAAAACCTATTCACGATAATTGTAGTCACTTACTCCACAGAAAGCTAGGACACGCGAGCTTTCCAGTCATACGAAAAATGTTAGAGTGTTCCGAAGATTTAAAAATAAAGAACTGTAAAAATTACTTAGAATGCTCTGTATGCAATTCTTCCAAAATTAAAAACAAGCCAAAACCCAAAAAAGCCACCCGCACCACACAATCAACCTTTCAACTAATTCATATGGATGTAGTAGGCCCATTAAAACCTTCAATTAAATACAAAAAAAGATACTTCCTGACCATAGTCGATGACTATAGTAGATTTGGTTTTGTATACACCCTTAACCACAAAAGTGAGGTTTTCAAAAAATTTAAGGAGTTCTTTAAAATGGTAGAAACACAATACAATACCAAAATCAAACAAATAATGACTGACAGGGGGTCGGAATTCCTATCCAACGAATTTTCAATTTGGCTAAAATCACAAGGAATATTGCACTTTAAATCTTGTCCATTTTCCCCATTCCAAAATGGAGTCTCTGAAAGGAAGAATGGTTTGCTACAAACCATGGTTAAATGTGTGTTAGATGATGCTGGTTTAAACCAGTCATTCTGGGCTGAAGCCCTTAATTATTCCAATTACACTATAAATCGCTTATGGTCCAGTACAATCAATAAGACCCCATACGAACTCATGTATGGAAGGAAACCAAAAATTGGGCATTTACACGTATTTGGTGTATCTGCTGATGTATATGTGCCCTCACAGTTAAGACGCAAAGGAGAGAAAGTATCCAAAAGACTGA